GGTGGAGGGTCATAATTCTCACGTCGAGGTGAAGGACCCACACATTATTTATGTTTCTCTATGTCATTTAGATGGGAAAATGACGCAAATAGTCTCCAAATTATAGTCCCCTGTGCAATGGTCCTTAACCTTCAAATTTTGGTGAAAAACTTCACCAACCTATCACTTAGGTGTCACAAATGGTCCCTTTGGACGGTTTTCATCAAAACGTACAATTAATCATTATCTATTCGAGTCCATACTCAGCCACCATTACACACACAATTTTTGATGAAACGATTTTGATGTTTTCTAATTAATTTTATTCTTTTCCTTATAATTTTTCATTTTGTTTTAGTTTAAACGAAAAAAATAAATAAAGGGCAATTATATTCCCACTACAACTTATACACTTATACGCCTAACGATTGAAATGGCGTCTACAACTTATTTTTTTATCTTTTTTTTTTNTATTTACACCACAATTTTTATTTCTTGCACCTTTAAATTATACTTACGTTCTTAATATTTGCCCATTATAGCATTTTAAAGTATAAAAACAAAATATTTTGATATTAAATATCATCAAGGACGAGACGTACTAATTAATGACAGGTTGAAGATAAAAATTCGATGGAAAAAAAAAAGTTAAGAAAATAATTGCTACAATGAGCAAAAATTGAAGAGTTTAACTGCAATTAAAATGTGATATATCAAATAAAAATTGTAGTAATAATATAACCAACCATAAATAAATAGTGTTTTGGTCTTTTCTACCCTTCTTATTTTTTGTCATAAAAATATGCACTCGAGGAGTTAGCACTAGGCTTGGATGGAAACCGATAGATTAGAGAGTTTTCAACCACAATTTGAAGGTTATGGACCAAATGCATAGGGACCTATAGGTTAGGTTTTGTCTTTCAGCAGCTTGCCTTTTGTATTATATGGCTTTATTAATGAATGTACCAAAGGGCGTATTGGTCAATTTGAATTGTATTTTGGACTTACTCGTACCTCGAAACAATTAGGACGAAAAATAAAATAGACCATTATGCAATAAATTTTAACTCTATACGAAAACATATGCAGGAAATTTCCTCTTATGACACTTTCAAAGTGGTAATGAATTTTATCCACCACCTTTGGATTTGTAAATAATGTTCGCTTTTAGAGAAAAAAAAAACATATTTCGAATTATCTAGACATTCTTATCAAATTAGAAAAAATTATGCGAATTTCTAATATGTGTACCCTATCTCTCTCCACCTACTATTTAAGAGTAATACTATTCACCATCTGTGGGGTTACAAACATAGTTTAGATGATATTAAATGAAATGTGAAATTCAATAAGTTGTTTAATTTCACATTTCATTTAACATATCATTTAGAGCCATCTACACTGTGTTTGTAATCCCACTTGGAATGAATAATATTACTCACTGTTTAATTATTAGCATTTAATATGTCCATACAAATCATTTAAACCAAATCATATAAAAGACTTTCGAAGGTGTAAAAGCACGTTTGGCTAAAATTAAAAGGAGAACGTATGTTACGCCTTGCCATCGAGACTCCTATGGATGCCATGCTTAGTCCATGTAGAGTCATTGAGTCAGATCTGACAAAATTGACAAATATCCAATTGGTCGAGATAAAGAAGTTAAAGAAGAAGAAGTTGATCTTCATTGTTTCGAGACTCTTATGTGGCCGAAGTTCCGTCTCTGTCCGAAACTCTCTTTGGCCTGAGCACACTCTTCATCTGAAACTCTCTTTTAGGTTGAAACACTTGCTGTCTTTTAAAGGATGCGAAGGCAATTTCTAGGAATAATTTATGTAACGTTTATTTTAATGAATGTCAAGATTGTCGGCCTACGGAGTAGAGCGGTAGACCCGATGTCTATGTATTAAACATAACAGACAGAGTAATATGGGGCTTCGACTTTGGAGATGAGGTCACATGATTCTAATCCAACAGCTACCATGTCGACCAAAACTTTATAAATAATGCAACTCTTTACACTCGAAAACACATTCAGCTTTCTCTTGTTCATTCCATATTTAATATTGCTTAAGTTTGTTTTTACTTTGGTGGAGTTGTTTATGATCGTTTGTTTGTTTGTTAATGTTTGAATATTTTTGTTCCATTTTTGTCTTGCGTCATAAAGTATCACCCGAGTCCATAAATGTCATCATTCTCCATTCGAATCTCCGGTCAAAGCGTGCTGAAATTTGCTTGCGTAGACGCGAGTGAGCCCAACATCTGTTGTCTACGTAACCATGACGGAAAACGGGGTCAACAACATATATCTAAATAAGTGAACTTCAAAATAAATAACTTTTTATTGTTCAAATAATAATAATAATAAGTCACTTATTTAATAGTAAGGTAAGAGAACTTTCAAAAAAAGTAAATTTTTTTTTTTATTTCAAAGACAGAAAAGGTAAATGGCCAAAACATATTTCGATATAAAAGTTACGTATACTTGTTTGGAAGGGTTAAGTTAAAATTTTAGTAACGTATGCCACATAATATGTAGATAAAAATGTGAATAATAAGTTATGAATTCAACGAATATATGAATAAAAAGTATGTTTAAGTTTTAACTTGTTTAAGTTATAATTTAAATTTTACAAAAAAACATGCACTAATTTCCTATGTTAGAACTTGCTTGCCTAAATCAACACATGTTGGGCATGGCTATTGTTGGATTTATGTTGTTCAAAAGAATATCTAGAAATATTTCTATTTTTAGGGTTTTGACTTTTAAGAAGATAACTAATGTCATGATCTACAAATAAATTCTTAAAATTTGAATTATGGGATTAAGTTTGGCAGGATTTATATTAGCTTTATCAATAAAATTAAAGTTGATGTTAATTTTTGCTAATTATAAATGTAAGCTACCTATGCTGTAAAAGATGTAAGCTATTCCTTAGAGGGCATTTCTATTAAATGTTTGCTGACTTTATATATTCATTGATTTTGTTTTGTGGTATACTATTTATTAATATTTTTCTGTTGTACCGTTGACTTTATCTATTAATTGAATTTGTTTTATTATTTGTGAGAAATATTTTATTGAATGTCGTCGTTTAGTTTATTTTAAGCAAAAGTAACATTATACATAAATTAATTTAAGAATAAGTTTATGATGGGTGTCATGAATTAAATTAGATTTATTGAATTAATGTGTCATGTTATCGTTGGTAGTATAAACTAAGCAATGGTGAATAGGTGTCCCTTTTGAAACCAGAATTGATATCAAGAATTCATGCACTTCCCTTTACTCCATCTCCG